TGCTTTCCAAACTTTCTAATGCTCTTTTTTTTCAACAAATTATCCTCCCTTCCCCAAACCTCACCAATTCTTTGACAACACCATACTAGCAATGAAGTCATGGAAAGAAGATTAAATATAATTGTAGTGTTAAGTTTTACATTGAATATGACCATAGTCTCAAATGCTTGATATATTTTGCCCAACAATTTCAGAAGCATAAAGAAAAGTTAGTTTTGATCACTATAATGTTGGATAACTACAAACCCTCTCTTCCCATATTCAAATTGTCACTAATTTTTTGTGTAAGTCAATATAGTGTAATGATGACCTTTCCCTTACTGATTATCTTCACCGCTTCAAAAAGACTAGAAACTACTCTCCTCTCTGATCTTGTTCCACTTAGCAAGACTAAAATGTGGCCTTCTTTATTTACTAGGTCTTGTAACATCTTGTCTACCAATAGAATTATATACTTGTATTCCTCCATTCTATTTTCTGCATGGTTAAATTTCCCCTCTGAGTTATTTCTAGAAATTGTAGTATCTCACAAGTTTGTAATGAAAACAACCAAAGTTATCAAAGCAATAAAATTCCCCTTTAACATTTAATTCCCTTTTAGGTATTATCAAACGTTTCCCTTTCACTTATAAGAAAAACATTCTCAATCCAACATTTTTGCTGTTCTCTCAGCTCTGTCTATTTTTATCTCCTACCCATTACTTAGCTATCTATATCATTCGCACATGAAAGAGTTAAACTATTCTACTATTAGCTAATGTAAGGCAATCTCACCTCTTTTTCCTATACATTCTTCTAGATGACCAATCTCACTGTATAATTTGTGTCAAACTTTGTTTTTAAAGCATTTTCAGTAGGCGCTAAGTTTACTAGCAATGCATTACTTTTAGTTTCTATTAAGCAAGCTGCCTCTCTACTGGTCTTAGCTCCTGTGTCATCTCTTTCTATACCCTCAAAGCTGTTTACTATTATGTTGCTGTGTCTTACTTTTTTAAAAGAACTTATCACTTTTGGAGTGAATTTTTCAATTGTATACTATTCAATTACTGTTCATGAAATATAATAAACCCTAGGAAATAATGGTGTTTTATTACCTCTTCTAAAAATCTCAGATTTTTATTACTTTTTATTATTTTTATTTTTTGATATTACTGTAATTCATTTTATGAGCAGCACTTACAGAATTATAGTGCATAAATGAAATTACAGTTGGAATTGCTGAACACATTTCTAGGCACAAAATACCAGCTGTACTTTAGTGACTTCCACTGTTAGTTGCTCATTAAACATGATAAATAATGTTGATTCCAATTACTTATATCAATGTGTTATATCTCACATTAAAATAATTGCATTCATATAGTTTAAATATATTTAAACATTTACCAGTGAATATTTTTATAAAAGTGAACATTTTACAATCTCTAAAATCAAATCACATAGTGCCTTCACCTCCTGGCTGGATTGGACCTATTCATGTTCTCTGACTAATCAACCATTCCAACTATAAGGGCAACTTCCATGAGCTAAATTAAAATCAGAGACCTTATCACTAGACCTAGGTTCATTTAATTTAAGCCTATTATTAAACCTCCCTCTTTTCAAAAATGAATGACTTGAAGGAAATCTCATTAAACCTCACGGAAAGGCTAAAGCAAGCTTTGACTGTAGAGTCAACCTGAAATGGGAACATTAGAAATGTGTATGATGAAGTTTAAATTACATGTGATAAAGAGAATCAAGTCAAAACACTAAAGGAAATGGCTATGTTAAAAATTTATTTTCTTTGTCAAAATACTCTATGTACATACACTAAATAGCAATGGTTGCAACAAAATTCAAAAGGGCAAAAATGTGTCAAATTAATGCACAAATACCCATATATATATATATATATATATATATATATATATATATATATATATTATAAATTAGGAGAAGATTCTGGAGAATCTTTGGTAAGTTCGACTTGCCTGAATTACAAATTTACATGGGTAAAACACACCTGAAAGGCACTGAAATTTATAATAACATCATATAGCTATCTGTGGGAACTTTATGAAAACTCTTAGATTCCCAATCAACTGGCCACTTCTAGTTCTTGGTCTAGAGTGGTACCATGTGCTATTTCTATTGTATATAAAGTTACATCAACAATTGTCATCAAATTGGTCTTGGTCTGGCAACCATAATTGTTGAAATTTCATTTGTACATTTTCTTTGTTGTGCTTAGGGAGGAGACTATCTAGCAAAATATGTCCTGGCTGTGTAGCTGTTAAAATCTTTCTGCTTATTATTATATAATTGTTCCTATCATTATGTTCAAGGGTTGAATTGTACATGGATCTTTGGGCGTGAACAAACTCTTGCACATACTATTTGATCTCTAGTGGTTAGTCTTGGATATATGAACATATATGTACTCACACACAAGAGAAATAATTAAAGAAGAGATTATGAATCTGTGAGAGTGAATGGAAGATGGTTAGAATAGGAGACAGCATCAGGAGGGTATAAATTATATAAATATGCAGTTCATCTAAATAGTTCTTCAAAACCATTTTGTTCATACTGACAAGTATGTGGGGTAAGGGAAACACTCATCCATTACTTATGGAAGTGTAAACTTTTGAAGTGACTATAAAAATCAGTATGGTAGTTCCTCGGGAAGCTGGGAATACATTTGACTCAAGAACCAGCTATAAAACTCTTGGACTTATATCCAAAGGACTCTACATTCTACTACAGAGTCACTACTCAACCATATTCCTTGCTGCTGTATTCATAATATCCAGAAATTGGAAACAGCCTAGATATGCATCAATAGAGAATGGATAAGGAAAATGTGGTATACTTACACAATGGAATATTATTCAGCTCTTAGGAAAATCATAAAGTTCTCAGGTAAATAGATTAAATTAAGAAAATAAACATCCTAAGAGAGGGTAACTCAGATACAAAATAACAAATATAATGTTATTCTCTCGCATATGGATGTGAGCTATAAGCCTTTGTTAGTTATTCTGAATAACCACAGAAATTAGGAATAAAATAAAGGACTAAAAGACAGTGATGTGACAATCAAAAGTGGGAAAGAGAAGTATAATTAGAGAGAAATGGGGAGTTAGGAACACAAGGATGGAATAAAGAAGAAGAGAAAAAAGCGGATTACAAAAGAAAATATGGGAAAGGGCAGCTCGGTAACACTGAAGGTTATTTGAGAGGTCATATGATAAATTAGTACTGAAGAAGCTTTACATATGAAAGAAATTTAAATGAAATCACCAAATAAGGAGAGAAACAAAGCCCCAAGTTACAACTTCCAGTGCCTGGACTGGGTGATGTACAATTGAGTTGACAAAAAGGATCCTAGGGAGCCATCAAACAACCCAGGCTATAGTCAAAGCTATTGGTTTCTCTCCAAAACTAATGGTTAGGACCTATTGCTGAAGAAAAATATTATTTTATATCATTACTATTATTAATAAATAGTATCTATGATACTGGTAGGTATTCTGAATGGTTACCATAGGAAAAAGATAAATGCCCACTCTGATCTAAACCATTTCATCTAAAGTGATGACCTGCTTGAATGAAACACTATTTCAGTAGTGGCACAAATGATGGGAAATATCCAACCATTTCACGACTAGAGTTAAAGCTCACTCTATGATATGGAACCCATCTTTGACACTCATTCCTCAGGTGTCCAAGAATCTGAGACCAGAGAGGTCATGGACATAGAAGAAACTCAGATACTATTGTCCAAATAAAGGAACATAGCAATAAAATGACTACTAAGGACATTCTGCTACACATATGGATCAGTCACTCACTCAGCCATTATCAGAGCAGCATTCTCCTTGAGGAGATAGGAAATAATACTGAGATTTACAACTAGACAATGTGCAGAGACTGAAAGGCTTTGGAACACTCTGTTGTAAATGGGATGCATTCATCAAATCCCTCTCTTCAAGGTTCAGGGAGCTATTGAGAAGGCAGTAGAGAGATTGTAGGAGACAGTGTCTTTCAGACAAAGGAGGACTGACACACATATGAACTCACAGAGACTGTGACATCATGCACAGAGCATGCATAGGTCCAAATCTGAAATGGTCCAAAATCTGATACTGGAAAGTGACCATAATCTCTTGATACCAAATAAGAATGTTATCACAAAGAGATAAGAGCTTGTCACAAAAAAACTCCACTTGTCTGGATATATAAACAATACTTAAGGGTAGAGCTCATGCTATAAGAACAAAACAAAATACAGTTATGATTTTGCAGATGTTTTGGTCTTATATTGTTTTATTAGATACCTTTTTTTTCATCCTCTCACTTTTTTTTTTTGCTTGGATATTATAGCTTCCAATTTGATTTTTTACAGGTTTGTGTGTGTGTTTGTGTGTTATGTTTTTTTCATTATATTATTTATTCATTTAATTCTGTTTTATTTTGGAGGGTTTCATTTGCCTGTTTTCTAAGGAGAGAGAGAGAGAGAGAGAGAGAGAGAGAGAGAGAGAGAGAGAGAGAGAGAGAGAGAGAGGAAGGCTTGGAGTAGGATGGTTGTTGAGGTGAGGGAGGAAGAATATGGGAGAAGTGTTGCGGGAAGGAAGACAACAATCAGAATATATTGTATAAATTTTCAATTAAAAGATTAAGTTGAAAGGAAAGATTACTGAACTGAATATTATTTTAACTTTTTTTCTGAATTAAAATATGCAATCAAACACTAGATCTATGTTTTAGCAGATATGGATAAGAGACATAAGCTTACTTCATGTTAGAACGGCCATCAAGCACTCTAATACCTATAAAATCATATTTGCCACCAGAAAAAAATTTTCTTTATTTCTATGTATGTAATTCGGGTCAAAGAAAATGGCATTGTTCCAGAACATACTTTTATACAGACCAACATCCTGTATTTACTTGGCAGTATGATAAGCAGAATATGTCCATAATAGGTAATAAAGCAATATGCATGACTAACTTACCCTTGAATTAACCACTTCCAGTGAGATGTTCTGAGGTGGAGCACTTGGCACTGAAAGGAATTAAATAAGGTGTGACAGTTACAACAAAGTCTTACCAAAGAAATTCCAGCCCATTGATGCAAAGAGAAAGTGCATCTTTTTCAAATTTCATAATGAGAATTCAGTAAGTTAATGAAAGCAGTTGTCCCTTTTCGATACTCTTAGAAGAGAAATAAACAGTTGTTTAATTTTTGTCTCATGGGGTAGGTCAGTCAGTTATCCATCTATTGAGTACCCAAACTTTTTTATAAAAGAGCACCAGATATGATAGCAAATAATGCCATCTACCTCCAGCTTTGTGATAACAATCCTAGTAGAACCTATGAAAACAGAGGGGAGATTTTCTAGAGTGGCTTCCAAGGATTATCATAGTGATTTTTTTTAAGGATCTGCATCATTTTATGGTGGGATATATCATAGTAATAGACACCTGAGTTGCTCAATTCCTATAACGCAATCACTATTATCTCCTACAGAGTGAACGAAAGGAAATGATTGTTTTGTGTGTTTAGCTGTTTATAATTAAACTTGTATGACATAGAAGCAAGCAGGTTCCCCAGTAGTGTTCAGCCCATAGATTCTATTAACAAAAGACCTGTTTATTTTTCTTTGGGGATTTTCTATCTATTTCCTATTATTTTTTCTACATTTAAAACATTTTAGACATTTATGTCAAAAGAGACATATGCAGCTCCCTTTTGGTAGTTGCAATGAATATTTACTAAATTCAAAGAGTATGTCTCCAGTCATGTGAGCAATTTGAAGACAACCATTGACCAGGTAGCTGTTATGTATCCGGAAATATTCTAGATCATAAAGTTGAAAATTAATTTATTTATTGCAAATAAATAAAGCTCCTCACCCACCTTAGCACCAGGAACAGTATTCAATGACCTCTTAGTGTCCTTTTTATTAAATGAATTGTTCTTATTTTTATGTGTGACACATATGTAAGTGTGATAGGACTGGGCTACACATGCATTTTAAGGACTCCCTTGCCATTCTGTTTCCTTCTCATGCAGATTGGATGGCGTCTGTTGTTAGTTTGGCTTCGTTTGTTTGGTTGGTTTTGGCATTTTTATACTATTATTTCAACTTGAATTTAGGTATATCCTATACTGATTTTTGAATAAAAATTATTTATCATCAGGGCATGTTATATTCCTGACTAATTTCTGTATTCTTCAAACTGACAATCAATTAATATTCATTGAATTAGTGATTAGAAGAGAAATGAAGACCTACTTAAGAATTGGGTCCTGGAATTTTATGAACATGATGAAAATTGAAATAATTTATTTGCTTTGATTTGAACCTATTAGATTTTGATAAAGATTTCAGCCAATATATTCTGTGATAAATTTTCAGTGTCAGGTGTTAATTAAATCACTAATCATGCTTTACTAATATTCCATAAGTTAGGGAACACCTCAGCTGTTTTAGTTAATATTATGACTTTTACTGAAGTATGGAATATAGTGTTCACATGTTTTCTAAATCTTAATGCTATATCATTAATACTGTTGAGCCTTTGGGTAAATCCAAGAAGCATGGGTTGAGATAGTAGATTAATTATCAGAAATGTTATGAGCTGGTAATTTATGTTATGAGGAAATTAGTTGTGAAGTAGTTAACTTATTTTTTATTTTTCCAAATTTTTAATTTAAATATTTTTGTAACATCCACGTTGAAGTGGTACCTGGGTAAAAATGACTATAAAGCACCTACCAAACAAGTTTAAAGATCATAAGAAATGAAACTTCCCAAATATAATAAATCATTTCATCTGACCATCACAAACCATGATCTATGACCTGCAGTGATCTTTCTTTGCTACTGATTTCTGTCAACATCTCAGACTCACTCTCATCTCTGAGCTGTCACTTAGACAGAAGCTTAGAAATGTTCTACTTCTATGGTCACATAGTAAATCATGTCTGGGGAAGTAGGAGTTTCCTACTGTTTGACCTTTCTCTGATACTTTCTATAGATTATTCATCTTCCTTTTACTTTCTGGTAACAACTTAACATTCACCCAGCTGGGATCTGCCCCACCCCAGCAGAGAGAGTCAGGCCTGCCATCACCTGCTCTGCCTGTTTTTATACTGCCAACTCACTTCCCAAACTGTGGTCTCTTATTAATTTTTAAAAAGTGTTTCTGTTTTTAAATAGATATTTCAGCAAAAACACCTTAAATGTAATTCTTTCATTCAAAGGTTTTCTGGTCCTTGTTAAAGTTTGTCTGTCTCTGAAGACACATACAAACATTTAAAACTACATTCACTAATCTGTAAACACAATTTTTCAATTTCATCTCAACTCCAACATGAATTCTATGTGAAGTATGCCAATTTTTTTTTCAGAATACTAGAAACCTTATTAAAGTGACTGATTAATTGTCATCATGGAAACAATGTAACCATGAAATCACTACTAATCATTTTAATTTGACTTTTTTTTTTAACTTTAACAAAATGGTGTCTGAACTTGACTGGTTTCAGAGAGTGGGAAAGTGAAGTATGCTTGGTTAGGCCTGTACACCTAGGATTTCTGTTGGGTGGCTTATGTGTGTCTTAACTTCTTTCAATGATAATATTGTTGACTTCTAAAGTTAACAGTCACTGTTGGAGCATAACTTATTTGTGGCTCAAGTGCAGACTCAATTTTTACCTTGTGAGACTTAGGGTATACCCTTTCTTTACCTCACAGAATTTCACAAACGTCTGAAGATATAGTTTCTCTTTAAAGCAAACTTTGGTAATCATCTCAGTTGTGATTTGAATCTGTAACAACTGCTAATGGTTGAATTTTGGAGGAAGAGCAAAGTCTGCTAGATTTTTTTATTTGGTCAGAGGTCTGTGTCTGGAAATGTTGTGATACATTCAAATGCTACTCTTCTTTTTACTTGTTGTTAGCTTCGAATTTCTAATACACAAAAACCAAACTGAAGAGATCAATAATGCATGACAATGACAATGTTAGAATCATCAAAATTATTTTGATTAAATGTTGACAGTTGATAGAATGCAACTCTCAAATGTCTTTACTTTCGTGTTGTTGATTTAGTTTGTTAATTTTCTGCAAAAAAAAAAAAACTTCCTTACATTCCATAGACAGCATATTGGTTGTTCTTGTTGCAGGGAAAGTAGAGAGTTCTTCTTCAGTATTGTAGGTACCAATCAATAATAGATAGGGTTAGATGAGGAATGGAAGTGAATACAACAAACTCTTCCATGCCTATTTTCATCTTTCATAGTTATATAGAGGGAGGAAATGTTTATCTTCAAAATGTAAAGACATCAATGACAGTACATCATTATGCTGATGAGAAGATGTCAAGATTTTCTCAGTATGATAAAGCCTACTGCTTTATACAAGTTAAGATAAGGGTAGATCACATTTCATCTTCCTAAGGCATCTCAGTAAATGAGGCATTTGAATTTATTTCTGAGAAATACATGCTGCCATGTTCATATATTCATTGACTAAGTTAACAAATGATGTTTAATATATCCCTTTTTAAAACATACTAATCTGAGGCATTTATTACAAAACAGTGCATTTTTTTGTTAGTTGCTTGGTCGTATTAGTTTTTGGTGTTTGTCATTTGAGGCCCTCCCTGAGTATCTAGAATGACACAAAACTTGCTATCTTCAAGTGCCCACCTCCCAAGTTGTGGAATTATAGGCATACACACACAGCCCTGTTTCTGATGCTCTGTTTTTAACTTAGTTTTGAATTTTGTCAAAAAGAAAGCATTATAGAAATCATGGAAGAAGTGAATGATGACTTATGCTAGAAGCCATAAACATTAGTTATAACAGTAATGATCATAGACTGATGCATAATTTCCAATGAATTTTTTTTCTGCTCTTGGATCTTAATCTGCAGAAAATTAATAATTTATTTAGATCACGTAATGCAACTATGTCAAGTCAATATTTATGGAAATCATATATAGCTTCATAGTACCTAAAATTAAATAATTTAAATGTGTCAGAGACATAGGTATTTGCTAAGCAATGGTGTATTAGGAAAAGAATATCACATGAAAAAGTATGCCTCAATCCAGAAAAAATATTATAGTATAGCTAAATTATAAATGGCAGGTAATCAGGATAAAGGTATTTACAAGTGATTTAGCAGACCTAGAAAATCATTAGAATATTGAATTCATACAATAAATTTCTAATATTTAATTTCATCATATACATTTTTTTCTCTGTACCAGTATAAATTCTGTGGTACAGTTTCCTTCAATGATTATCCTATTTAAAACACAGATGCAATTATATATAGTTTCATGTTAAATTAGTAGTATTCAAAACAGAAAATAAGACAGTTCACTTTTATATGAATACTTTATAAAGATTTGGATGAAACTGTCTAATTAATGCTAGAAATTTCACAAGTTGGTAGAAAAACATAAGTAGACAGAAGGTTATCCTACAAGTTTAACAGAATCAAAAACAAAAATGCGTACTGATACACATATATTAAACACTGATATGTGTGTCATGTATTCTTTTAGTGTGTACATAGATAGCCTATTTAATTTTTATTTATGACACACAATATCAATGGAGACCACTTCGGTGTAACAGAGAAATGAAAATGGGAGATCCATTAATGTAACCCAGTTCATCTAAATGACCTCAGCATGAAAGGGAAAGCATGAGATGAAGTAGACAGAAGGGAACTTGGTACTGCCAAGGTGGAAGCCAATAGCACAAGTTTTATTGGAAGTTAAAACTCTGAATTAACTATAAAGGTAGTTACAGATGAGGTCATGGTGCCACACAAGAGTACCCCACAATCCTTTATTTCTCTTATCAAATGCACCTAATAAAGAAAATTTAGTAATTTTCTAACAACTACATTTACTTGGAGTGATAGTCATAGAGTTTCTTTATCAATGACAGACTATTTCCTAGGCACTGCAGCTTTTCCAGAAGATAACTCTTGGACTAATGAGTAACAATCTATCTTTCTCACTTATGACATTTAAAATCAAAGTGGAGAATAAGACCACAGTATTACAGTTCAGAGTGTGAATGAAATCTACATAAATTATGTAAAATACTCATTTTCATTTGTTTTTCTTTTATTTTTATAATTATAAGCTATAAAGTAATTTATTCAGCCAGTGCATATTCTGTTCTGTCTTGAATAACAGAATCAGACAGTTGGGTAGAAGAATTACATTAAAATTAATGCTGAAGTGGCCTAACATTAAAATACCCTTTTAAGTGAAATTGCAAATGAGCATTAGCCTGTGTTCTCTTTGGAAAATCCTTAAAAACATGCATGTCTTTCTTCCTGCCATTGAAATTCTGTGAGGTATCCACGTCAATTCTTTCTCAGATTAAAGACTGTTAGGTCAAGAATCAGAAATTGAAGGCGGTTTTAATCAAAATATCAATAATTTATAAAACTAAACATACTAACAGGGAAGCCATGCTACCTCAAGCTGGTTTTTGGTCTTTTTAGTATTCATGTGGACATCTCTGCAGTGCACCTGCCTGAATCTCTATAGTCCCATTCCAAACCATATACTTGCCTGTAACATTTATTAAATGTCTCAGGCTTTCATTATCATTCATTCCTTTGGTAACCAGCTTCCCCTGACATTATTCAGTTAAATCCATTATCTTCTTTATGATTTCTTCCTCCCTTTATTTCATTTGAAAAATATGTCTAGTCTTCATTTGTTAGGCAAGAGAAAATGAAGATATGCATTTTCAAGTCCACTTCTAATATTGCAAGTTCATGTTTACTCAACAAAAATTCTTTGGGTATATTTACTAATGAAGTTGTATAGTCCATCATTTATAATTTTAATCATCTGTGCCATTTAAAAATGAGAATGAAAGAAAAATACCACCTATGTTATTCCAAATGGCAATAAATGTGTTTACTTTGTAACAGGTATAGAAATGAACAAATACATGCACAAGAGTAATTTGAACTCTTACACAGTAGCCATAGTTTGGGGATTATCCTTTAATCCATCCTGACAAAGTATATGCAACTGAATTATAAATTTAAATTTGAGTACAGTACTGTGAATAAGTTGTCTATGTTTTTATTTATGATTGCAAAAATATTAGTTCAAAAAACCCCTACAACAGAATCAATAACATATATGCAACATGTTTTTCAATTCTCAACAGACATGTGAGTAAAATTTCACTGTTCATCACTTACCATCTGAAAGTGTAACAACTGTTATATCTTCAGTAGATACTCCTGGCCCATAACGATTATAAGCTAGGAATCGAAGAGTATATTCCGTAAATTTTTTCAGGCCTTCCAGTTTATAAGATAGTCCATCAACCTCTATATTCTGGAGACATAAAATGCCAGAATCATTATTAAGGAAGCACATTAAAGCAGAAATGGCAGCTATTCTATGCAATCGGTGAATTGAACATTAGACACTCATTCATAGAAGCTCAGTGTAGCCCTTTAATGAATTGCTGTAAAACCATCTTTGAGTCAGACACTCCCCCACTAAAGTCCAAACTACTCTGCAGACTCCATGTTAAAATATCATCATGCGATTTTTAGAGTCATTAAGTTTCAATTTGTTTAAACCACCCAGAGCACTGGGTAGTATGGATTATTCTACCCACATCAAAACCCTGAATAATAAGAATGCCCCATATTAAATAATTTGTCAAGAAATCACAGATTGTCATTTGCTTGAAGAAATATATTCACAGGTGCTGAAACTCTCAGACAATTTGCTGCTAGTTTTATGTCCTTAAATGCTGTGGTGTAGATTGAAACTATTCCTTTCTAGCTCACAACTGCAGAGGGAAAGTAGTAAAGGTGAAGGTCACGGAGAAAATCAGATCCAGTGCTTGCTAAAGGAGCTGTCATTTAGTTTTACATTTTTATTCCCAGATCATCATTATCAACATTGGACAATATAGCTCTTGAGTTTACTGAAGTGACCTACAGAAAGGTTTGTATAAAACTGCCTAGGAAACAGCTTAAAAGGAAGAGTTAAAAATGAAATGGGAACACCTAAGTAAAAAGCAGAATTGCTAATTACATAAGAACAATTCATGTAATACTGTCTGAAAAAATAACTAAGAAGTAGACCTGTAATAGTTCTACTTAAATTTCTGTCATATTTATTTCAAAAGATAATTCCTGATCAAACGTTGCATATGGAAGTACAAAAACCATTCTAAGCTTGGTAAAATGTACTCTATTTCTAATCTCTCTCTCTCTCTCTCTCTCTCTCTCTCTATATATATATATATATATATATATATATATATATATCCTAATATATAAATATCGGTATTTATCTTTTCATTTTAAAAGTAATAATTTGGGAGTTTTATTTATTTATTCAAAGACTCATTTACTGCTACTCTTCTTGAAAATCTCATTTGCCTTTCTTCAGATTTCTTTTTTTTTTCTTCAGATTTCTATTAAATCAATGGTAAAAATATAAAACTCCAATGTGTTTGGGGAGTATATGCTTCTAAGAATAATTCCAGGAAATAGATGGTCACAGCATGAGAGTAAAGAGAAGACAGAATATCACAAATCATCCATATTTATCTGAGAGTGGAAACAGCAGCTTGAATAATGCCACTAAACACAAGCAGATCATTCTCAGGCTGAGCAGTTATAAGAAATATCTCTGGGCACAGGATATGGTTATCTATCCTTGATCTGAGTGACTACACCCAAAACTTGAACCAGCATTCTCTCACTGAACTTCATCCCGTTGTTCTTTACATCATCAGCACAATACAATGAAATGGTTTAGAATTTCCAGGAACAAGTATTTGAAAACAATCAGCTATTCAACAGTATTGCTAAATGATGAACAGTATCAGGATCTGGCAAGCACCCTATGTCTTTGGCTCTAGGGTCATCCTGGAGTTGGCATGAGGCTCATTTCTTACCCACCTGTTCTTTTCCTGTAGACACCTCAGTGCAGAACAATCTGTAACCTTGGACTGGACCATTTGCATAGGCAGGGGGTTCCCATGTAATAAGAATTGAGGTAGGTGAGGTAGATACAGCGTGCAGGTTTTCTACTGGCCCTGGAACTTGCACTGTATGTAAAAAAATATTGATGCAAATAAGATACTTGCTTTCTCAAAACAAATATTTACTCAGTATAGTTAAAGAACAAAAAAAAGGAATCTGTACTCTTTCTAAGGTAACATGAAATAACAATGTTAATATTTAATATAAAAGTACAATAATGAAACTTTGATAAACAACTTTGCTTCAAGGGAAGGATTATATAAATTGAATCACTCATTTTATTTTATATCTAAGACTGGCCAGAGTATAAGTGATTAAGATGACAGAAAGACATATAATTCTCAATTTAAACTTTTAATCTAGAAATGTTTTTATTGATGAATTTCGGTATATTGAACTATCCCTGCATCCCTGAGATGAAGCCAACTTGATCATGATGGATGATTATCTTGATGTGTACTTGGACTCAGTTTGTGAGAATTTTATTGAGTATTTTTGCATTGATGTTCATAAGGGAAATTTGTCTGAAGTTCTCTTTTTCTGTTGGGTCTTTGTGTGGTTTAGGTATAAGCATAATTGTGGCTTCATAGAACAAATTGGGTAGTGCTTCTTCTGTTTCTATTTTGTGGAATAGTTTGAACAGTATTGATATTAGGTGTTCTTTGAAAGTCTAATAGAATTCTGCACTAAAACCATCTGGTCCTGGACTTTATTTTGTTGGGAGATTTTAATTTTTGCTGCTAATTCTTTAGGGTTTATGGGACTGTTTATATGGTTTATCTGATCCTGACTCCTCCATTGTTGGTGGGATTGCAAACTGGTACAACTACTTTGGAAATCAGTCTGGCAGTTCCTCAGAAAATTGGACATAGTATTACCTGAGGACTCAGCTATACCATTCCAAGGTATATACTCAAAAGAAGCTCTGATGTATAACAAGGAGAGATACTCCACTATTTTCATAACAGCCTTATTAATAATAGTCAGAAGCTTGAAAGAACCCAGATGTCCTTCAATAGTAGAATGGATACAGAAGATATGGTACACTTACACAATGGAGAACTACTCAGCTATTAAAAACAATGACTTCATGAAATTGTTAGGCAAATGGATAGAACTAGAATGTATTATCCTGAGTGAGGTAACACAATCACAAAAGAACACACAAGGTATGCACTCACTGATACGTCAATATTAGCCCCAAAACTCATAATACCCAAGTATTCACAGACCATATGACACTCAAGAAGAAGGAAGACCAAAGTGTGGTTGCTTCAGTTTTTCTTAGAAGGTGGAAAAAATACTCACAGGAGGAAATAAGGAGAGAAAGTGTGGAGCAGAAACTGAAGGAAAAGTCATCCAGAGACTGCCCCACCTGGGGATGTATCCCATATACAGTCACCAAACCCAGACACTCTTGTTGTTCCCAAGAAGTGCATGCTGATAGGAGCCTGATATAGCTGTCTTCTGAGAGGCTTTGCCAGAATCTGACAAAAAGAGGTGGATGCTCACAGCCAACCATTGAACTGAACACAGGGCCCCCAAAGGAGGAGTTAGAGAAAGGACTGAAGGAGCTGAAGGGGTTTACAACCCATAAGAAGAACAAAAATATCAACCAACCAGACCCTAGAGTTCGCAGGGAGTAAACTACCAACCAAAGAGTACACATGAAGGGTCCCAGGGCTCCAGCCACATATGTAGCAGAGGATGACATTGTCAAGCATCAATTGGAGGAGAGGCCCTTGGTCCTGTGAAGGCAAGATGCTCCAGTGTAGAAGAATGCCAGGGCGGGGAGGCAAGAGTAGGTGGGTGGGTGGGGGAAAACCCTCAGAGAAGCAGGGGGAAGCGGGATGAGAAAGAGCATTTCTTGGGGGGGAGTGGGAAGAACTGGGAAAGAGGATTACATTTGAAATGTAAATAAAGAAAATATCCAATTCTAAAAAAGAAAAGAAAGAAAGGAACAATGTAATCTTTTCATTCTGCTAGTAGGCGTTTGCATGTATATTTCTAATAGCCGCTGAAAGAAAAAGAAATTACAGTAGTTATAATTTTAATATTATGATTTTCTTTAGACAAATAAACAACATACCTATACATAATTCATCTCATTGTCTTTAGGTCAGCTATTTATCATGTAGCAGATTCTGTTTCCTGTAACTTTTTATAAAGGATTTTATTTTCAGTTTAACTTTTGCATTTTCTCTCATAACCATTACTTAATCAAAGATAAGTAATTTGCTTACTAATGAAATTAGATAGCACAGAACCATTACCTATAATCAAAACCCTTCTGCTCAGCTGTGTTTGAAGAGTCACAAATTTTCAGATTTCTCTGTAAGTAAAAGTCAATATTTCAATATGATTTTGCACTTAATATTTGGAATAAATAAAACTATTTTGAGAGTGTTCCTTTCTGAGTTACAATCTGCTGTTCCTCAAATGAATAAAGTAGAAGGCAAGAGCCAAACACTATAGCTAACTAGTGATTCGGTTAAGACATGTGCTAAAATTGTAATAGTTAAAATTTTGAGGCAGATTTTAAGGCTCTCCCTCTTGGTTTCCCAGGGCAAAATAAATCTAGGAACCTGAGAGATTGACATGTATGAACTGGAATAGAAGAGGAACTGATTTTAGTTAGTTTATCCTCAGTTGTCTCACATTGGACTGGTAAGATATAATCCGAATGCATTCTATGGTTTAGTGAGTTGTTCTATTTTTGTTTTGTTCTTTTATTTTTTTATTTTTTGTTTTTTAATAAACTTGCTTTCACCTGATTCCTTAGGTACTAGGTGGCAACTTTACAGAGAAACAAAAAGTGTTAAGAACAGGCGCTACACACATCCTGGGATTATAACTGTGGCACAAGAATGTATGGATCACTCTTTTGTCCTGAATGAAGCACATGAGAATCTGACAGTGCCACTGGGAAGTCTTTCCATCAGATCAGTGGCCGTACAAGAAAGAGATATGTGTGTATCCACATATCACCCATGGAAAACAATCATCAACTTTGTAAGGAGCCAAACAATCTTGAGGCTTGGGAATCAGAGAATATGATATTTCAAATTCATAGCCATTGCTAGCAGGCATTGTAAAGAAATACACTGCAGGGGTATATGTAGCTTGGGCTTGTAAGCCCTGAGAATGAAATGATGTGTCCCTTCCAGCTGATCTCAAAGCACTGTCTAGATCCTTTTACAATGGAAGCAATTATCAACAGGTTATACACAAAACTTGCTACACAGGAATTGTTTCAGAATGTTGTTTCACATGGATAAAATTACTGGTGAAAATATCAACCCTGTCCTTACTGAGTAACCTAGAGCATATTATGTCATGTAATCCTTATTGGTTAGACAATATAGGTGATTATTTAACACAAGTTATCACTGATGTCTTTCAGAACCATGATAAGCATAAGAGTAGAATATGTATGTATCTATGTGAGCCCGTGTGCTTTGTAATTGATATTTATGCTTATTAAATGCTGTTGATTACAGAACATCAGGCTGTTACTACCCTAACTTGGACCTAGTTGCCATGGATAGAGCCAATACTCATCACTTATTCATCAGTTGTGTTTGTCTACATTGCTAATGGCCATTGGACATTATTCAGAGAAGACATGGGCATGGACTTTTAGGAGAATTCCAAGCAGACATAACAGACACCAGAAGTGCCAAGGACCATTCAGAATGTTTGTTTCAAGTGTTTCACTGGCTGCCTGACAATGGAGAACATTTTCTTTGCTAGGGTAAAGTCTTAATGCTAAGTCTTATATCTTACTAGACCTTAAAATATAATTTAAAGTTTTATAACATGGGAAAAACATGATAGATATTCTCACATATTAAAACATCATTTAAATAACTGAATATACTTACATAGAAAAATTAAAACCAATTAAGCATAGTTCTCATCAAAATTCCATACTCAGAAAGAGATTAAAGTAGCCCCTTTCTGGTATCACTAGAGATTCAGATGAGCTTTAAGTGTTTATTCTTCAGAGTAGTGCCACAAATTCCATTGTAAGAGTTTATAGTATTCTGTTTTATATTTTAGCCCTATTTATTTATATGAATAATTTGTTCTTGCTTATGAGCTATGGGTGTATATTTATACACACATGAGAATGCATGCAAAACAATTATGCTTGCATCAGGTACTTTCCTAGAAAATATGTTGAAATATAGTTTATGTGGTATCACATATATGATATGTGCATATGAGCTACAAAGAAGAGAAAAATTAAAAGGAATACTCACAAATCTTCAAAAGCCAGTGTTAGATGTGAAATCAATACAGTTAACAGTTCCAGCCTTCCGTATCATTACATTTTAGTATGTCAGTCAAGAACCTTAGTGGGTTTAACTGTTCATCATTTCCAAGGTGCGTTTAATACTGATCCCCTTAGACAATAATTTGTGAAAAGCTGCATCTAATTTCTGTCCATCTCAGTTCAAGCTACCTATTTCTTCAAAAATGAAATGACTTTAGGACAGAGGAATAATCTATGCAAGAAACACATCAATCAATGTCAATCTAACCAACTACATTTTAAAAATTTAATATTGTATTATGGTAGAAATTCTATGTAATACCTGTGTCTAAGGACAAGTTAAATAGTTACAATGCAGTAAATGAAATATATTAGATGTCACTGTTTTCACTGGGAACAGAAATTTGTGATTATATACAGTCATATGTATTATAGGATAAAAAGCATTTCATGCTAAGACCTTGATGTATATTAACCTTTGAGTGACATATTAGTCAAATATTTAATCAAAATCAATCACATGCAATACAATCATACTGAGGACAGGATGGGAGGGAGAAGCAAGTAGAGGGTGAGAAAGGGAGAGAGATGAAGGAGATGAAGTAGAGATAAAAAAGGAGAGAGAGGGAGCCATGTCTTAATCAACTACAATAAAATGTTATAGATGGTAGGATGACCATCAGGAAATATGGTATTCTTCCCTAATTCAGCTATTATTTGCATCTGTTATTACGTAATTTATGAGCTTTTTGATGGGGGCTTCATTTTATCAAAAAAGTAAATGAA